AAGTTCCTCGGAAAGAATTATTACCGGAAATTAACAAACAAGCAGATATGCAACAAATTGGTGTCAGAGAACGTGACGAAAAAAAAAAGATGAAAATGAGAGGTGGATAATCAAACTACAACTTAACAGATTTGATGGCAGCAATACAAGAACAGCAAAAGAAACAAGAAGAACGAGAAAATAAACAAGTAGAGAGAATACAGCAATTGCTGGAGGAAAAGAAAAGAAACAAGAAGAAAGATTAAAGCAGTTGTTGGAGGAAAAAGAAAAGAAACAAGAAGAAATATTACAGCAGTTGTTGGAGGAAAAAGAAAAGAAACAAGAAGAATGAGAAGAGAAACAAGAAGAATGAGAAAAGAAACAAGAAGAACGAGAAAATAAACAAGAAGAGGGACAGCAACAGTGGCAGCTCAAACAGCAAAATAAACATGAAGAGAGATTACAGCAGTTGTTGGAGGAAAAAGAAAGAAAGAAGAAGAACGAGAAAATAAACAAGAAGAGAGACTACAGTATTGGTTGAAGGAGAAAGAAAAGAAACAAGAAGAGAGGCTACAGCAGTGATAGGAGGGGAAATAAAATAAACAAGAAGATAGACTACAGCAGTGGCAAGAAAACCAGCACCAGTGGCAACTGGAACAAGTAAGGAAACAAGAAGAACGATAAAAGAAACAGAAAGAAAGTCTCCAACAGTTGTTGGAACGTCAGCAACAGTAGCAAGAAGAACAAGGAGAGAGAGCACAACATCAGCATGAAGTATAAATGGAAAAGATTAGTAAATTTCAAAGTCAATTAAATACATTAAAGGACGATTTACTATATTTTAAACAGGTTGGATATATTAGCCATGGACCTGTTCAGCCCCAGACAACAGGAAGCCCCTCCCAGACCTGCAGCTAAACACTAATGCAGACATCTTCAGTCCTGCCAGAAGTAACATTCGAGACATGAATGTCAGCAATAGGGGTGATCTAGTACAAAGGAAGCCACAAGAATTCGATGGGAAGCATATAGAGCACAATCTGAGCTCCTGGCAGAGATGAATGGATGGACAGAGGAGCAGAAAGCAGTATATCTGGCAACGAGTTTGAAGGGATAACCACTGGAAATACTTGGACAGTTGTCAGCAGACGACAGGCACAACTATAGAGCACTGGTAATTACTCTATAACTCAGATATGGAACCCAAAATCAGTCTGAAATCTACAGGGTTAGGTTTAGGACGATAGTCCGTGCTAAAGAGGAGAGCCTGCAAGAGCTGGCACAGGATTAGGAAAGTATGACACACAAGGCCTACCCAACTGCGCCACCTGATGTTCTCAAGTTGTTGCTGAGGGATCAGTTCGTAGATGCATTGGACAGATCACAACTGAATATACAAGTAAAGCAAGCACACCCCTCTACTATGCAGAATGCAATGACCAGAGCTCTTGAGTTTGAATCCTACATTAAGTCCAGCACAGAGGTACCAAGGTTGGTACAGTCATATGGATTCAAGGCCAGAAACGGGCAGCTTTTGGAGAAGTTTGAGGGACTTTGCTGGCACTGTAACAAACCTGGACACAAGAGAGCTCAATGCCAGCAACTTCAACACAGGGGAGATGATACAGCAGGAAAGGCTGTTGGAACTGTGGGGAGCAAGGACATCTGAGAAGCCAGTATAAGAAGTCAGCTTCGGGAAACCAGTAGTGGTCGGGGCTGAGGGACGCCCACCAACCCCCACTGTGAAAGTCCCAACAGCTAAGAGTAAAATGGCAAGCACACATAGTGTCTACGTGACAGGAAAGCTGGATAGCCAAAAGTGCAACTTTGTCATAGATTCTGCATCTCAGCAAACCCTTGTGAGTATCAAGGTGCTAGATCAGAAACGAGTACCAGAAGCCATACAGAAGCTTTGTAACGTGACAGGACATTATGCAAGGTTGTGGGGACCAGTGTGGATAACTATTGAGCTTTGGGGAATGAAGGATAGACACAAAGTATACTTGGCTGACATTGAAGACCCATGCATACTAGGGTTGAAATATTAACT